TTTTTTTTTTTTTTTTCGCTTGTATGTTTGTTCCTGGTACAAAAATATTTTTTGTATAAATATAGGCAAAAAAAATTGGTCGAATAATTTGTTTATTAAATAATTATTAGCACTGAACACTAATGGATCATTAAACTAATGACCAAATTCTTTCCTCTTGCTCCTTTTATCTTTGCAAAGTTAAAAAAAAAACTCTCTTTATATATCTGCTACACTTTTTTCAAAAATGAGGATAAATTCATTGGCAAATAGAAAAATATAAATTTTAATGAGTTTCTTGAATTTTTGAACTGATAGACTAGTATCAACTTTCAATTGCTGTTTATTTTTTCCTTTTTTTTTTTTTCTCAAAATTTCTTGAAGATACATAAATGCTAAAAAGATTATACAAAAAAAAATTGTACAAAAAGAAAAAGTTTTTTTGTTCTACTAACCCTTTGGCAATCGGTTTAGTTCATACAAAAATGCAATAACTTGGGAAAAAATTATAAAAGACTTGGAAAATCGTGGTATAATGCTGAACGAAGAAAAGAAATGTTGCGAAGAAAAGTTGATTGCTGAAACTCAGGCTAGAGAAGCCGAACACAGTCGTTATCTGGTAATTTTTCTCTCAAATTCTCAACTATTAACTCAATTTGTCAGTAAAATCTTTCTTCTTTTGCATAAATTACGCTCAAAGAATAGGCTACGTAAGATAATGTATACTGCTATGATTAGTTACTGATATTTGATTCAGCTAACCACCGGTAGTTCACTGTTTAATTTTATAAAAGCATTACAGGAAAAGAGTATTGTTTTTCGACTATAAATAAAACAGCTTTATTATTTTTATTCTTGTAATTATTACTGAAAATTTAGACTTTCTGTCTTTTTCTTCAAATTTATACTGATAACAGATTTTGTAGCCCGATAAAAAATTAAACTGAGAAGAAACTTAATTAATTTGATGAACAATAAAAATGTTCAAATTGTCTCGTCTTCTCTTCTCTCTGAAGACCTTATTTTGTAAGCCAAAACTGAGCTGCAAAATAGAGCTCTTATGAAAGCGGCATCAACAATACTCCTAAAATTATTCCAGTTTTTTAAAAGTGTAAAAATTTACATAATTGAGCATAATAAAGAAATGAGACAATTAAAGAGCTACATGATTTACTTATTCTTATTTTGTTGTGTTAAGCGACACGTAAGAATGCCAAAAAGTTTGCATAAATGTTGACAATTACTTTAGTTCTTTTTTTTTTTATTTTTGGTAAAGCATGAAAATCTGATAATTGTTTTGGTAAAATAGTTCCATATAATTTTAAGTGCTTCTCGATGTAGTTTTTAGTATATTCTTAATCTAACTGTACGTATGTCATTTCAAAAAACAAAAAAAAAAGAAATGTAAAACTAAAGCTGGCAAGAAAAAATTAAGCACTGCTTATTCTTACCTGTTTTAAGCGACTAAATTACAATTATAGAGTTTGGAAAAGGTAAAAGCAGATTTGGAACGAGAACGTGAACGACTAATGAGGCAAACAAAGAAATTGAAAGACGATCTTCAAAGTGTTAAAAAGTATTAATTTTTCAGCAAAATGTCATTGAAGTAGTTATTTCCAACATTGAACTTTTAGTATATATCCTGTTGCCGAGACATTATCATACGATTAAATACCTTTCAATACTAGTCCTATACCTCCTTTGCCGAGTTTAATGTTTAACTACTGTTTGACGGTCAGGTCTGAAATCTATTTATTTACAGTGAATTGAAAATAACTCATGAAACTATGCAAACTTTGGAGCAGGAAAAAATTGCTTTGAATGCTAAAACAGAACATCTCGCAAGCAATATGGAGGTTTGTTAAAAAAGCTATCATTGACAAATTATAAAAATAATTTGTTAAATTTAAATATTTAGAATTTTTAGAATTATAAACTAATTTTGGCTAGTTGTATCAAGTTCTACTGTTACAGTCATTGAATCTGGAAAAATCAAAAATTGAAGAGCAAATGTCTTCAATACTTCGCGAACGTGAACAATTCCTGATCGAAAATCAGAATCTCTCAACTACAACTTGCCAGCTACGAAATCGGCTAATGGAAATTGAGACAAAAACAAAATGTATTACATCTGAAAAAGAACGTGTAGAAGCAATGTAGGTCATCAATAGTGTAAAGTTGAAAGACTAGTAGTGCATAGGCCTGAATAACAGCAATTCAATAAGTTTTTTAGGTTACGTCTTAATGAAAAAAAAACTCTTGATCTCGAAAAAGAACGCGAATATTACAACAGCCAAACTATGGAGCTTTTAAACTCGTTAAAGGTAAGAGCATCACTTTTTTATTTAAAAAATAATGCTCGCATTTTTCTGATCTTCTTCTTTAAAATTTCTTTTGAAACTAAAAACTACCAAAAAAAGTAGTTCAAATGCGACAAAACGCCGTAACTATTCATTTCTGCTTCATATAGAATTGACTTTTTCTTGTTAAGTTGCAATTATTGAATCTAAGCTAATAATTATAAAAATAAACAGTTATTTGTTCAGTTGATAGGTTTATTAGAGGTTGAAAAAAAAAGCATTGATGGCGGTGTTTCTTCTTTTTTTTATTTTGCAAACAATTAGTACCACCAGCAAGTTGAGTGCAATGCTGTCATGACGATTCCCTTGCAAAAGCCTCGCCTTACAAATTTAAAAGAGCAATGAAAAACAAAAATTCTGAGCTAGTAGTAACGAATTCTGGAAGAGTATGATAATATTACCTAGACGTGGTGATATCGCAGATGTATATCACTTTTCACTGAATAAAGACTCACTTCTAAAGTTCCTGAATCACATAATTAATATAAAATTATATGAAGAGATAGCAAGCGTTCTGTTTTGTGCACTCGAAGTTTCATTCTTTCTGAAATTTCTTTACACCTTGACCATACAACCGACTTTTAACGAATGCTTACCACCTGATCGAAACTTTTCAGTGAAAGGGTAGAATTTGAGCACGTTTCAGATAGCATACTTTTAGAAATCTGCTTTTCAAAAAATAAACTGCTGTAGTTACTAGACCAATTTTTTTTGTTTATAAGTTATATTAAACTACTTCACTTGCTGTAATAATGATTTTTGAGGAGCTAAGCGAACAACGCGATATGACCGAGGCTGAACTGAAGGATGAGGTAATGGCGCGAATTGGTGCTGAAAAGCAGTTACAAGCTGCTGAAAAGGCTCTTGAGCATTTAGAGGCGGCCTTGAAACTTACTGGAGCACAAATGAGCGAATTGCAAGAACATATTATGCCTGATGTTAGGAAGCTGAAAGGTATATTAAGTCGTATTTCATAGACAGTTGAGCAAAAATAGACAAATTTCTGCAAACAATGTTGCTGCAGAATTCTTCGAACACATTGCTGAAGAAGCCCAGTTAGATGCTAATAAACAGCTAATAATGAGGAACGCAGCTGTGGCAAGGCGATCGATCCGCAGAAGCAAAACCCGGATTAGAAGCTCTATTCGTCGACGTACGATTTCATCACCGCATGAAGAAAAAAAAACTGAGACTCAGACGTTAATACACTTGTAGGAGGGTGTATTATGTTTTTTTGAACAATTTTGAAAATATTTATCAATCATTTGATAAGTACTTCAAAAAATTTTGGATTTCGTTTGAATGGTATGCAGTCATCAGAGTCTCAAAACGGTTACTAGATTAAAATGGTTTTTACTTGCACTTAGAAACTCTGTTTTAATTTTTAGATATATCAAATGTTTAAAAAAACACTCTTTTACACTTTAATGAATAGCTCTGATTTTAATTTTAATGTACAAATCTGCTAAACTGTATCTATTGTCGAAATTCTAATAAACTTTTTTAATAAAAAAAAACAAAATTTTCTAATTGTATAGCATTTTTTTGTTTTTTACCTATGCTGTTATGTATTATACTGTTTGTACTACTTCATTGTCAAAATTACAATTATTACACAAACTGAACTGACACTGTTAAGGAATGTAAATTGCAATAATTGAAACTGATTCAATAAATAGGAACGATACCCACGGAGATTTTAAAAAGCAGTTAAATTAATAATAAATGGGAGTGCTTTAAAAAGTTAAATGAACATATTGAATGCAATCGCAGCAAATTATGCTCGCTCTGCACCCTTAAATTTTGTAAGATGGCGTGT